GCGCGTATCCGGCTGTTCATTAGGATCCAATCGATCAGGGCAGCTTTAGCCCTATGGCTAAGAGCAATGGCCACAGCGGTTGGGTCGGCATCCGAAGCCACTTCATCTCTGAACAAACGCAATAAGAATATACCACCATTATCGCAAGTTGTGAGGCGGAAAGTAAGTATGTATCAGCCGTACGCCGTAACGGCTCTTCGCTACCGTGCGACCACCGCCACTAGTACGCGGGCTGAGTGGTCCGCCCCTACGTGGATTCGAATCAGCGCCGCAAGATAACGAGACAAGCTCGTTACCTTTAGGCTATGGGCCGACGGAGGGTAATCATAAAACTCGAACCTTACAGGCGAGTTTCCGATAAGCAGCAGACATCGATTGATAAGGTCTCCAGTGTCCGGGTAAGTGCTGCCAGTTGGCCAGGTTGCAGAAAAGTGCGCACACTGAGGCGCGCCAGTCTTAGGGAGGACTGAGGGCTCCAAATAGAAAGAGATGAACTGACGTTGTCCGTTTGGCTGGACCTAAACTTACCGACCGGACCGGAGCGACGCCCTGCAACTGCGTGTGAGTCGAAATTAGAAGACGAAAGATTACTGGAAAAAGATGAGGAAAGGCCGAGAATTGGGGGATTGGAAACTGGGGGATAAAATTGAAGGTGGAACGGGACGATAAAGATGAAAAACCGTAAGAGGGAGACTAAGAAGACGGGAAGGCTTGAGCAGTAGCAACCGAACCCCTATCCACCCTGCTTTATACAGCAGATACGGCACCGTTGTATATCCTCTGTGGTGGCCAGAACATCAAGACATTATTTTAAGACACCATAATGTATTACGTGGGACGCATACGGTCAGGTTGCCCAGGCCTAGACAGAACGAGTAGGCTTCTCAATCAGCCTTTGGTTCAAAACCTGATCTCAAGGTAGCGGGGTTTCGGCAATGGGACACAGAGAGTGCGTCTTATAGAGGAAGGAGTAAACCTAACTCCAACCCCTAACCTGGAGGTCCAGGAGACTTCGTTTGTCAGGCCTCTAGGCATTGGCCAATCTGGAATGAGCGGCCCTGAAGGTGCAAAAGCACCACCACGAATAGCTCCATGGATCGCTGAGGCACACAAACGATCGCATCGAGTTAGGATCCAGTCTCGTCGCGATGGCTTATCGGATAGGGCACAATCACGAAGTCAGTGATGTTTTTGCATTGATCAAATATTCATGACTCTTGAATATTTCATCCATTCTAACTTTACCTATGCCTTAAATCAATGTTAGTAATCTGATGACGTGAATCAGAGTAACTGGGTCTATTGCATCTCGGCACATGGACGATCGCTGATTAGATAAGCAAAGCCGAACGCGAATGGGCAGTGGTCCACATTTGAAAATCAACAGAAACGCAAATGAAAAAAGTAAAGGCTTTAGAAATGTTAAAAACAGCAACAGGAAGAATGAGTACCGAAATTCACGTGGGAGAAGAAAGACAGCTGTGTATCTTATAATAAAAATGAGCCTCCATATCGGATAATAATAGATGGTAACCGGCGTATGGTATCCTACGACCCAGCTGAACTGTAAGCGTTCTTATGAGGCACCACCTAAAAGACACCGAGTTGAGTGGGCTCAACGTAGCATCGCCACGCAGCTAGACATTTGTAACGGCTAATATCCAATTCGGAGACCCGCCTGCAAGACTCGAGCTCTGTGCTCACTCTGCGACCCACTTCAGGAGACACTTGCAGCACTTTCTCATTGCGCCTATCCGGTGACGATGCAGCTTCGAGCACTGGCCAAGCTGGTGTTGGCATTGCCCTGAGTCCCCGGGCTGAAGCTGCTCTGGTTGATTGGATTCCAATCAGTAGCCGGATGTGTGCGGTCCGATTGGTTGACTTGTTCAGTCGCGCGGGACTAATAGGTGTCTATTCAGCATCGCTGCCTACGCACCCACAAACTGTAGCGATGGTTCGGTAAAGAACGACTTCTACCGCCAACTGATCCAGCGCCTTCGCCACATAAGTACTTCGGACACTGTTGTGCTGGCTGAAGATCTGAACGCTCAATTTGGAAAGTTGTCCACTGATGAAATGCATCTGGGCGGTCACCACGGTGTAGGCTCCCGTAATGATAGCGCTGAGCGGTTGCTTCATTTGTGTGAAGATGCTCGCTTATTTCTTGCGAGCACTAATTTCCGACACAGCACCCGCCGGAGGGTGACTTGGCGCCCACCAGCCTTGGACGCAAATCGATCACATTGCGATCAGTTACCGATGGAGAGGCTGCATCTAGAACTGTCGCTCGATTTGGAGCACATGTGTGGACACCGATCATGCACTTGTATGTGCTGACATGCGCATACGTTTTGGCGGACGCCCACGACGGCGCAGTAAGCGCATTGACACCAGCCAACTGACAAAGCCAGCTGTTCTGAATGCGTACCAAACTACGCTGACATGCGAGTTGAGCAATCGCTCACTGGAGACAATTGATGGTCACTGGTCACATGTTCGCCAGACCTTACTAGCAGCAGGCAAATCCTCAGGTGGTATGTCTAAAAGCCAACATGGGCATTGGGTCTCTTCTCAGTCTCCGGAACTTATCGATGCTCGCCGGCATATCCCGGCTGGAAGCGAACACGAAACTCGCAAAGAGCTCAGGGCAAGACTTCGTGCTAGCCTGAAGAGAGATCACGAATGTTGGTGGTCTCACCGTGCGTCAGAGATGGAAGTGGCCGCTGCCCTTGGCAACCATCGTAAGTTATTCCGTCTGACACGGGAAACCGGCAACAGGAGACCTGGTGTTAGTGAAACTATACGTGACGAGAGGGACAGCCTATCCACAATTTGTCAAAACGCTTGGAGTGTTGGGCCGAACATTTTGAAAATCAATTTAATCGGCTAGAATTGTTCGATTCTTCGCTGGCCAGTGATCGCCCTGCTCCGTGGGCTGTTCCTTTGGATCCACCCTCTCGCTCAGAAGTCGAACGTGAGATGGGACCGTGGAAGTTGAACAAAGCCGCGGGACCAGATGATCTTCCTCCAGCCCTCTTCAAATTCGGAGGCTCTGCTCTTGTTGATGCTTTACATGAATTACTAGTGAAACTGTGGGAGCAGGAGACTGTCCCAACCGACTGGAGCCACTCCGTTATTGTTCCCATCTTCAAAGGAGGCTCGCGTTCGGAATGCGGCAACCATGGAGGAATCAGTCTGATCTCCATCGCCTCCATAATCTTTCACAGACTGACTGGCGCTCGTGAAAGCCAGATTCGTGAGGAGCAAGCCGGATTTCTTCGAAATCAAGGCAGCATCGACCACATCACCTTGCGTCAGCTGTTGGAGCACCGTAACAAATATTGGCGGCCCACTCTAGTCGTGTTTCTCGACATCAAAGGTGCCTTCGATTCGGTTGATCGATGTGCCCTTTGGAATTGTCCACTCAGGAAAGGTGTGCCCGAGAAATATGTAACTATTATCCGAGCATTATACGCGCGTAGCACGAGCAGAGTGAGGGCTTACGGCAAGCTGTCGCAACCCTTCAATATCTTCAGCGGTGTGAGATAAGGATGCCCGCTGTCACCTTTTCTTTTCAACCTCGCTAGTGACGAAGTCATGGAGATTGCATTTAAAGGACAAGATTTGGAAGGTGTGGAGCTAATCTTAGTAGAACGACTTCTTGACTTGGAGTATGCAGACGACATTGCCCTCATCTGTGACAGATCCCAGACGTGCCAAATCGCGCTGGACAGATTAGCACTGTCAGCCGCTTCGGGCTTTGCTTCGCACCATCGAAATGCAAAGCGCTCCTCCAAGATTGGCAGGGATCGCCTCCTTCGCTGACCGTTGATGGGGATCAGCTAGAAGTCATTCAAAAATTCAACTACCTGGAAAGTTGTATCAGCACCCTTGGGATCGAAGACGAGATCACGAACCGTATGGCAAAAGCTCAAAGTGCTTTTGCTAAACTTCGCCATCTATGGCGCCGGCGTGACATCACTCTCGCCCTGAAGGGTAGGGTGTACAATGCAGCGGTACGTTCGACCTTACTGTACGGTTGTGAAACCTGGCCTCTAAGATCGGCGGACATGAAGAGGCTAGTTACGTTCGACCATCGGTGCCTTCGCAGTTTAGCTCATATCTGGTGGGAACACCGCGTGAGTAACGAGCTTGTTCGACGCCTTGTTTAAGGCACAGGAAAAGGAAATGAACCGCTCAGCACCGTCATTTCACGCACCAGGCTCCGATGGCGGGGTCACGTGTTGCGCAAGCCAGCCCATCGACTTCCACGACGTATGTTGTTTGCTCACCAGGGATGTGGACGGAAGAAGAGAAGGGGTGGCCAAGCGATGACTTGGTCGAGAGGAATGAAGGCCCTCGCTTCTGTGCTGGCCTCGGTTGGAGCGTCACGGCTCCCTGGTTGGGGCCCGATAGACGATGAACACGTTTGGCTGAATACACTTGCTGACATGGCAAGCAGCCGGCCTTAGTGGCGTTCCTGCTGTGAGTTTCTTTGTCCCTCCCCATCCCTTTTAGCTTCCTCTCAATCTACGATCTCAGTTCTTAGCGTAAAGCGATAACTTTTTTCTTTTTGCCTAGCAGCTGATTGGTAGCTTACCGGAACGATGCCTATCCGTTGCTGGTAGCTCAGCTGGCATGCAACTTTTGTATTTATTTTCCTTTTTCATTTATGTATGGCGGCACAGTAGCTGAGGTGTTTCCCATCTCTAGCTGACGTGTATAATTATTGAATGAATATCCAATTAGAAAGCGGTATACGCTTCCTATACTGGACCGTAAAAGTAATAGTGCGCTGAGATTCAACCTCAGATAGCGAGTTACACAATAGTTATGGTACGTGCAGATCATTTACACTAATGCTGAACTGAATGGCACAACGAATGTTGATTCGTGTGTGTGCATTGGCCATGGAGACAATTATCTCGGCTGACCGTAAGAATATATTATTATTATTATTCAAATACCATATCAAGGAACGGGATGCTGATTGAACTTACCGCACAGGAAACGCAGGCTCGTACTGGAACGAAAGAATCTCTTCAGGGTAGCCGATATGGACCAATCGGTGTTTGAGTATATCGAAAGCAAGTTCTTCGTATGCGGGAGATTTGTACTCTATCGCTTTTAGATTGATAAAAACGGACATTACGAGCAAGCGTATAATCCATATCGAAACCAAAGAAACGGATAGTATCCAACTGCAAACTACGGTTGACGAATATCCTGAAGACCGCCAATTTCCTTTTAGGATACCATGGTGTACCTGTGCTTCGTTTCTCGTTTCTGTAAACGGGGCTTCAGTCCAGAGTCCTTCATCAAAAAGTTATTGTCCAGCATCATAATCAGAATAAAACGCAGGTGAAATGATAAGCAGTTCAGTTGAAATAGACAGGTCCTGTAGCAACGAAAACACCGTGATGCAAGTACATGTGATTATGTTTGGTGGAAACCAAGATGAAAACAAAAAGGGTTACCAGCGGTAGAGGGCTGAGTGACGGAAAGTCGGACTGTAAAGACAAAATGGCATTCTCGTCACCTAATGTGCTTCGATTCCGTGAAATAGTTTCACGAAAAGGTACTCGTCAAGTCCCCTGTTCGTGTGGGCTAGAGACGAAAATAAAAATATTCAGTGTGTGAAGCAGCCTTCGTATACTTAATTGGCCAACAAGGAAAGGCTTAGAAAAAACCTAAGCAGTTATGGATAGAAATGAATGCTGATGATGAAACAGGCAATATAGCCCGAAACTCGACCCATTTCGCGCTTTTAGAAAAAAAGCAATTTTAGGAGGCGCGAGTCCCTGTCATAACAAGCGCAAATTCGATGCAGGCAAAATAGACGCCAAGCTGTCCGAAGGAAATACTTTATTTACACCGTAGGACGTTGTTCGCACAAAAGCATTTTTTTGACAATTTAAGCACAGAGTAATGTGCGTGGGTGACGAGATAAGAGTTTAAATGTGTTGAATCAATGCCGATGATGGTGTTCCAGATTCGTGTGAGTCTCAGAAAATGAAAACATTGTACAGTGTTTGTCGATTAAGTCCTAACCATTTTTTGCATCATGTTCCCGTGAAAGAAGGACAGTGGAGCTTAAAGAATCAAACAAACCGAGGGGTCAATGACTGGAAAAACCTCAAGTGAACCGTACCAGGATGGTGCCAAGTGTTTGTCGCTCTTTCAACTGCATTCGCCATGTTTCACTGCGAAGCGGTTCATGAAGGTTGGGTCTTAGATGATTCCATGGAGAAGATATAAAACTGGTAGCCGATGGACATGGCAATTGGGTGACTAAACAGACGAAAAAAGGTAACAAAATCACGCACCTGAACAGTGAGTGATGAAGCGCTGTGCTACGTAACAGGTGCTCATCGTAGACACAAGCGACGAAGCACAAGTCCATTTATGAGATAAATGCAACCCACAACGTATGGCAACTAGCTACGGCGAACACATTAGTGTAGCATGCTGAGTCATGGATACGATTTGCATATCGTTTTATAAGGCCTATAAAGATGCACCAATTAAATAGTCACATGACTGCTCTCGAAACGGGAGCGCGTTTCTTTTATATGAAAAACACCGTACAAATCTGTACGGGTTTGTGAGTTGTCAGTGCCATGTTCTTGTGGTAACACACCCTCTGCCCTCCGTGTCGTTTTCGCTACACTGGTGCCGTGACCAATCAGGATGAAGCTGACCTGCTCAGCGCAATTCGAGCACAAAGACGTGGAGTCCCGGCTCGATGAATTTGAGGCCATCGCTGCATGCAACAAGGTCAGAGGTGACGCAAATTTGCTAACTGCTTTGGACACGCTGTTGGAGGGAAGAGCGAAGACGGTGTATTTGCTCACACGGAAGGCCAATTCCGGCTGTTCGTTCGCTGAGATGAGGGCGGTATTGTGTGCAGAATTTTGGAAGGAAGACGATAGACAGCGAGCAGTGGAGTAATTCCACTCAGCTAGATGGGGCGAACAGGATTTAATGGTGTTTTTCCAGCAGCTGGACAGACGTTTGGCGATTGGGCTCCTCGATATGGAGACTAACCGAAGAGAACGGCTACTCAAACAGCAATTCGTGTGAAGCCTGCCGAATCCACTCCCTGACAAGGTAAAGTTGGCAGCGATGGTTGGAGAGAGCAGAGCAGAGGATCTGGTGACGGTTGCCCAGAATATTTCGGAGCAAGTGACTGTGAGGTGAATCCAGCATTCCGAGTTGGAACACAGAGTAAATCAACTGTCCGGAATAGTGGAGAATCTGTGTCAAGGGAGACTCCGAAAGCGATTTCACAATGTAATGAACATGTAAGCCGGAACGGTCGCCGCTGTTTCTGATGCAATCAGGTGGGTCATGGGGTTAGATCCTGCATCAACTGCAATTTGTACCATTGTTTCTCTCTATCCTGGCCGAGTAGGTGGCGGGTACCGGTCGTCAGGGTGACTACTGAAGGTATGTCGGTCCGGGCAACAGTGGACACGGGAGCGGAAGTGTCCATTACGAGAAGTTTCAAAGGAGTTCCAGTAACTCCGTCCTCGATCGTGACGCAGACCGTCGGTGGACCTCGTTTGACGGTGACGGGCACACAGCGGTTGCGAACCAGGATAGGGGAAACGCTCATCAGCCATGCTATGTTCATCGTAGAGACCACTGAAACAATCATCGGCAACGACATCCTCAAACGGCTCGGTGCCACAATTGATCTGAGAAACGATTTAGTAATCGTAGGCAACGAGACGATTGAGATGAACACTGGGAGAGTAGGTGTCGTCAAGGTGCGGCCTGACTGCCAGCACCCTGAAATACAGAGTGAACTGAGCAAGTATGCCCACCTAGTTACGGACGCAGATGATGTTTACGGATTCTGCAGCTAGGTGGAATATTGAATACCATTAATCCCTGGAGGGCAGTACAAGCCGATCTTCAGAAGAATACCACAGAATACGCTGACAGATACCAAAACAGATATTAGATGGAAGCGAAAGGAATCAACAGGCGAACACAGTCTGTAGTTATCACCCGTGCTACTGACGAGAAGGTCGACGGTATCTATCGATTTGGCATTGATTTCAGAGAACTGAACAAAGTGACAGTGAAAGGTGTTCCCGATGCCCCAGGCGGAAGAAATTTTCTCCAGCCTTCACAGCGCCAAGCGGACTTCCTTGATAGACATCCGATCGGGATACTGGCAGCTGCGCATCGCAGAGGAAGACCGCCACAAGACAGCTTTCAGTGTGAATGGCCAGCAGTAAGAGTTTCTAAGACTGCCGTCTGGATTACGTAACGCCCCAACTACATTCAGACACTTATTGCCGATGGTCTTGGAGAACCTACAAGGCGTGGTTGTCTACGGGGACATCATCGTCTTCTCCAAAACGGAGCACGAACATAGTATCAGGCTTGCAGCAGTACTACAAAGACAGGAAAAAGCTGGTCTGAAACGCAGCCGCAAGAAGTCGAAGATTTAAGCAACCTGAAAATTCCCATTTAGAGTCAAAAGAACACGAGACCATATGTGAGCAATTGTTTTCGATGATTCTCTTCAGACCAGTACAATCATATTTAAGGGTGAAATAATGAACTGAAATCGACTCATTAGGTCAAGTTACATAGTTAATTAACGGATCAGTGAGGGAGGCTAAAAGTTGACCATTGATCTGACGGGTCGATTGCATGTTATCGAGCTTGATCTGTGGCAATCGACCACAGTATCGTTCGTTCTAGCTGGTCAGGGAAGCTGTAAGGCATGGAGCAACTTCTTTTGCGAGCATAATGAAGGTTGAAACAACCGAATGCAAATCGATTCAGCTGTCGCGAGCGCACGGAGGCGCAAACCTCTTGATTGATGATAGGGGACCCTGTAAATTATCCTGAAGGCACGCTTCAGATCGACTTGGTGCCCCGTGTCGACAATATGGGCCAAAACGGCGCAGCTAATGGCCCCAGTTCCTCCTTGACGCAACCAGCGCGGGCAGTGCTCCTTCAGGCGTTTGGTCAAGTGCAGTGCCGTTTGACCAATATAAGTAGCGTCACAAACGCACTTGAACTGATAAATAACCATAGATGAGGTCAGCAATGGCAGCGTATCCTTATTGCGTGAACAAACAAGTGGTTCGGTAGAAAATGTGCAATTTAACCTGGAAGCTAGGAATGTCGACTTGACTACCGCTGAAAGACTTTTGGTTAGGCGCTCGGCAGCGGCATCCCCTTTAAAAGGTATTCTTAAAAATAACTCCTTCGCCGCGGTTAAAACTGGTACCGGCTTGGGCTTTTCTTCAAGATTCTTTGAAACAAATCTATCAGGATAGCCATTCTCGCGCAGCGTATTCTTTATAAAGGCTAGTTCCTGATCCAGGGTGTCCTATGAGCAAATTCTACGTGCTCTTGTGGTAAGGCAGTGGATTAAGTTTCGCTTATATCTCAGTGGGACGAAACTGTGAAAATTCGTGTACTGACCAATCCACGTATTTTTCCTGTAGACATCTAGATATGGAAGCCGATTGCAAGTTTCTGCCTCGTAGGTAAATTGCAATGCTGCGTGAGCCCGGTTAATACGGTCGAGAACCTTATCCAGATTTATGCCTTTATCCGCCACTATAAATATATCATCTATATAACGATGAGAGTGATCAAAAGATTTTATCCTAGCTTGCAATTTTGTTCGCTCCAATTTGGCCATGAATATTTCTGCGAACAATGGACCGAGGGGGGATTCCATGGCTACACCATCCTTTTACCGGTAAAAATTTGCCATTAAATTGCTCGGGAGTCGATTGTACGTCTGGGCCACATTGTGGGCAATGGTCAAGTCTATCCGCTTCCGGGGAAACGCAAAACGATCAAGCGTTTTGCAGTGCCAAAGTCCAAGCATCAGCTGCGTTCGTTCTTGGGAAAGGTGGCTTATGACTCGAAGTTTGTGCCCTATTATGCAGAGAGGATCAGGCCGCTGTTAAAGCTGCTTCACAAAGACGAACCGTTCGTTTGGATAGCCGAAACGAATCAAGCCTTTAACCACCTAAAGGCATGCATAGCGGACCAGATTACAAGAATCTAGCACCGTCATCGGAATGGCTTCACCGGTAAATCCTGACACCAAATACCACTTGCGGCTTTCCGGAGATCCAAAAGCTGCCGCCACTGGCCAAGCTGGTGTTGGGGTTGCACTGAGTGCCAGGGCTGAATCAGCTCTGTTTGACTGGATCCCAGTCAACAGTCGGCTACGTGCAGTCAGACTAAGAGGTTCATGTAACGTAAGCAGGCGTCGAGATGTTAAGCGTGCCTTGTTTGTCGTCTCCGCCTACGCCCCTACAGACTGCAGCCCGGGTGCAGTTAAAAATAGCTTTTACCAACTACATGAACTTCTAAGTTCCTCCAAAAGGACTGATATAGTCATTCTTGCCGGGGACTTTAACGCACGGGTTGCCCGCCTTCCACCAAGCGAACACCACCTTGGGGGCAGCTTTGGTCTCGGTGGCAGTCGATCAGACAATGGAGACAGACTGCTTGCTCTTGGCTCTGATCATCGCTTGTATC